GTCTTGGAAGGTAACGGAAATACCGCGCTCCGTTTCTGCTGATGAACACGACCCCAATTATGACAGTGAGGCGGAGGAGAATGTGGTTTTTGTATCCACGGCGGTAGGCTCGCCCCAAAAGTCGACACCGACGCTTGAGCCAGATGAGTTAGCGGCGAAGGAGCTCGCACTCAATCCACCCCCGGAGATCAAAAAGCGAATTATTGAGGTCTTGGAGGAATATTTTATCAGTGGAGATGCAGATGAAGTTTTGAGCTCATTAAACGATCTTGATGAACCTGAGTTCAACTACGAAGTGGTCAAGCGTTCGATTACAATGGCCATGGACAGGAATGATAAGGAACGTGAACTGACGTCTCGTTTGCTGTCGGCATTGTATCTGGACGGACTCACTGCTGGTCAAGTGCTAATGGGATTTCGACGTGTGCTACTACTAGCTGGAGATTTGCAGATCGATATTCCTTGTGCCAAGAATATGTTGGCTATCTTCTGCGCTCGTGCAGTAGTGGATGAAATCTTGCCGCCAAGTTTCTTGGAGGACCCATTCATTACACGGTACGCCCCTGAGATTGCGTCGGAGGCGATCAAAAAGCTTAGTATTAATCACGCGACAGCACGAATGGAAAAAGCTTGGGGACCTGGTGATGGTCGCCCTGTTGAGGAACTAAAAGTGGCTATTGACCAATTAACGAAAGAATACTTGCTATCACGTGACCTCGATGAGGCTGCGCGTTGCGTTCGTGAGCTCAATGTGCCGCACTTTCACCATGAGGTAGTAAAACGTGGCATAAATAACTCGCTTGAAGAAGGAGGTGAGGCTAACAGTGCAGCCATGGCGTCGCTGCTGGCTTATTTGGTCTCGAATGAGGTCGTGTCGACGGGTCAGCTTATCAAGGGATTTGAGCGCTTTAAATTCGTACTGGACGATGTTGCTTTGGACATCCCGAATGCGGCTGCATTGTTTAAAGACATTGTGGCGCGCGGAATTAGTGATGGTATTCTTCCAAAGGATTTTGATGCCAGCGCAACTAGGAAGAATTAAGTTGGCAGTCTAAAACGTAACAAGTGATTGCAGAACGAAGATCGATTTTTGCCGAATACTCGCACTACTCAAATCTTGTTTTTTGTTTGGTAGTTACTATTGCAAGAACATTTTACGCTAGAATCTATCAAGAATGCACTTTGACATAGGCATAATTCCATCTTCTCAGTACTTAAGAGCAGCATGGATCAGCTGACACAGGCACGTTAGTCGTATCCTTTCCAAAAACGAAATAGCTGGTCATATAGCCCATCACAATGCTTGTTATCAGTGTAAGATCGTACGTCATGACCACAAGCATAAGCATATACGCAAGTAGAACCCTACCACCGCGTAACAGCGCATCGACCAGGTGCGTCCAATTGCCAACCTTGACAGATACTGGTGGCATGTTTCGCAAAGAAAGATTTAGTTGCGAGCAAGTCGCTTTTGAATGATTTGTGATTGTGATTTCCGAGGACTGAGGCATCTCGGTCATGTCGGTCTCTTCATTCTTGGTCTGGTCGCAACAGTCGTGCAGCGCAGGGTCGTAGTAGCTAAAAATTTGACGACGCTTCTCCAGAACAACCGATAGTCGACGTCTCGCAAATTCTTTTGATTGCTGCAACTGGCAGTCGTTGGAAATCGTGAGATATTGAGAAAGCGCGGCTAGCAGAAAAACGAGAAGACACGCTAAGGCCGCACGCGGAGCATTTGTGAGACCTAAGCTCTCAAACCACAATGCGGAACAATCATCCATCTGGTCAATTCCCATCCATTTAAGCCCGGACGCGCCCATAAGTGATCCTGGGCCAATGCAGCTTAGCATCGTAGCGATTCTTACACAATTTCTCACGAGTTGCTGCTATGCCGTAGCTGATGATAATTATGCCACTCGATAATATATAATTGAATAGTCGACAATTTCTTATCTAGCACCTATCTCGTAATTCGATTCGAGAGGATTACTTTGACTACGGTAGCGACTTCTCTTACTCTCATACTTGCGTAGTATCTCTCAAAGAAATGGCCAGATCAAATTATCATACTTCACCGTTTTTCATCGTGCTGGCTTTGACAGTTTGCAGTCTATACAATTACAATGTCACCAATGCCATGGACAAAGATGACATGCCGGTTCGCATCGTACCTATGATTTGCACCCAGTTGAGCTCATCTAACCTATAATGACTGCTACAGGATGATCCGGTGAGTGGTAAGATGGTTATGACCACCGCCTACAACTTGAATCTTCAAAACGGTCAGATATTGCGTTTTGCTAGCCAAAGCACACTAAACACATTTCTGCAGGACCCGGTACATGCCTGTCGACATTGCAGCTAGCAAAGAGGTTCTAACAGTGTTTTATTGCATAATTCGTGAATATATTGCAGAATACAGGATTGAAGGGCGTCGCAGCTGTCAGAGCTTCTGATATTCACAGTGAGAAAACGCAAAAAAGCGTCCTGTGCCCTGTGTGCGGTATGGAAACATCCGTTAACCATGGATCGGAAGTAATTATGTTACACGGCGACCAAGCGGTGCATACCTGCAGTATGGCACATGCGCGCGAAATATACCTGAATATACTGTCATATCAAGTATCAGAAGAGAGCGATGACAATGTCAAAGAGCAAAACTATTGCACTGGACCTGGTACGACCATGTTAAATGGATTTTCGCTTAGCAGATCTTCCACGCCATGCATTTTGCTGTGGTTTCCTGGGTGGGTGCTGAACTCGCGTTTGCGCTATATATTTGGTGGCATTATAGTAGCGCTATTGGCTGTCTTTAATGAGTATTTGCTACAATTACGGCGCAAGCTGCGCAAGGAGAGCAGCTTAAACTATCTTATGAGCATCGATGCGATATATGGAACGGAGGGAGCTCGACTGACGCGGCTTACAGCGCCGAATATGCCGTTGGTTCATTCTCGTGGACCGTCATGGTTCTATTCGATGTCTACAGAGATGCAGCATAGTGTGCACAGTTTGCTTCACGGTATCACGCTCTTTGTGGCCTATATGCTCATGTTAGTTTCGATGACGTATGACTTTACGCTGCTACTTTGGGTGCTTGGAGGCTATGTTTTTGGCCACTTTGTATTTGGTGAACGTTGTGAAGCGCCTTTTAGTAGGAGTGGGATAGAGGCAAACTTTCCTTGATGTTTAATCTCGTGTCGAGCTATTTATTCTCCAAATTTCGACATGAAAAAAAACGTATGGACAGCAAAAACAGTAAAACACGAAAGAGATACAATTCATACTTTTAGTTCAATTTTTGATTTTGGAAACGATAAAATGTACAATACATGAAATTTCTCGTAAGATTGTGACCGACCATTTTCCATTGTACAACCAGTGAATCATGATCGCCCCACAGTGCCGCACTCTATCCTTAATATCGGCGTTTGCCTTACTAACGACCACCGAAACTGCAACCGCAGAGACAACAGCTGAAGCTGATGTACCTATTTTGCACAGGAAGACGCACACGCCGTCAAAATCGGAAAATATTCGCAATTCGATCGAGGATCGAGTCTTTCTTACTCCAGTTTTGGCCGGAGCAGCGGAACATAGCATGACTTCTCACGCAGATTCGCGATTTACCAATGAAAATATTGATCAGTTACGTCAGATGAAGTTTCTTGATTCCACAGATGTTATTCATGAAAATGATGATGACGCGATTGAATCGCTGATTGCACAAGCTGAAAACGTGGATGATCTGTTTCGTTCTAAACATGTGCTAGCTTGGTTTGGAAACAAGTCACCAGAAAATCAGAAACTCGCGATCAATCGTCTGCTAAACAAGTTGAAGAATCATAAACGAACCCAACAAAGGCTAAACGAAATTTTTGCGACTGGAAAGACGGGTGAAAGCTTATCTCATTATCTATCTATCGCTGTGGAAAGGAAGTGGTGGGCGAGCCTCTCGGCGCAAGAGATAAAGAACGCTCTCAGATTTTCAATCGAGACTGAAAACAATGAAGAGTTTGTCAGATTTGTGGGTGAGGTATTTTGGATGAAATTTGAGTACTCAGGAGAAGAGGATTTCAAAAAAGTGATGTTGACCTTGATGCGAAATCGGTCAGACAATGAATTTATGTGGGCTGGTATTTCTTATAAAGTGATGCAAGATAAAGATTGGGATTGGGGTATCTCCCTTTCCGGTGTGTTTGACGATCTTTTACTGACATACGACAAAGCTGCGGGTGATTACACGCCCAGCCAGGCTGTGGAGTTTCTGGCGAAGCACGAAAGCACTGTTGCTATCAAGTTTGGCATGACCTCCATTGAGACCGAGAACGATAAAATTGAGTATCTATTGAACGAACTACTTACTATCTCGCAAAGTGAACTCATGTGGGCGAAAGTGTTGGTTTTGTTGCATGACGAAGAAAACACCTCTGAATCCTCTGGTGTGTTGAGATATCTCATTGAATCATGGATGAAAAAGTTCAGCGATATAGGTGTAAACGCCAACAAAATAGGCTTTAGCCCCAGCTACGTAATGTTGACGAACGAAGGCTTTATTAAATTTTGCTTGTTCGCTCAGTTCATGCACAACGATTTCGACGAATATCTTTTGAGGATACTGCTACAGCTTTCGAATGGTGGCACAATATCGACTCATGCTCTTTATACAGTGCAAAAAGACGCTACAGTGTACACTGGTATGCACGATACTCTTCTCCACTATTGGAATCAAAAGCAATACGATACGACCGCTGCTGCAAAAGACAATCACATTTTCGTCGTCGCTTTGAACGATGTCATAGAGCGTGCCCTCGCTCACTCTTTCAGCCCGACAAGTATAGAAGCGGAAGCGACAGTAACAAAACTGCTTGAGTATTCGAAAAATGAAGCCATGTGGGCTAGATTTCTGGACAAGCTTCAAGAATACACAACTATACGTGGTTTTGTTCCCAAAGTGTTTGACGTTCTTATTGGAAAACACAATACAGAAGCTACAGCAGACGAGTCCACACCAAGTGAATGTTTCGTGTTTCTTAAGAGTGATGATTTCGAAAAATTGTTCTTTGAAGTAGAAGCACAATCAAATGGGAATGTGTATGGCAAGATGCTGGCTTGAAAGAAAAATCGCAAGATGAGGTCATGTGGGCCAAGCTATTTCACATGCTGTTGAACAGAAATAAGTTGTACTCCAACTTGTTGAGCATATATCGTCAAAAGTGGATGGGAATCGATAAAAGACGGCCACACTTAACAAAGTTGAAAAATATACGGTATCTGGGTAGCCAGAATTTCAAGAATATGGTTGCGTTTGCGAAATTCTCGTGTGACAACCCTGGTGAATTTCTCATGGAAAGATTGCGAGAGCGATCTTCTCAGAATATTAATTGGATGAACCTATTAAAAGTGGAGGGAACGAGTAATAAAGATATAAAAGAATTGTTTGGTGAATAAACACTCTTTTATTCACGGATTGAGACGGGATATGATACAGCAGCAAATTTCCGATGACGTTTTCTACTCAGCAAGGCTTATGCATTTCTGACGGATGAGGATCATGCGAAATCGTGTGGACCAAGAAATAGCTGATACAGAAGTACGTGAAGTTTTGTTAATAAAAAAAACATTTAAACAAACACGCCATGTGGTATATTTTTGAAACTGGAATACGACACATTCGGTATTCCAATCTCAGTAAGTCTAACTGTACGCCAAATTGAGTCCTTCATTCCTTCCTTGGAAAAGCGCTGAGGAGTTGCACAGGTCACATGCTGGCGTAGTCTTATAATTCGTTTTCAACAACAATCATTTCGCACTTACGTAACAACATGATACTTCTGTAGCTTCTTGCAAAGAGCGTGTTTTACAAGTACTTCTGAGTACAACGTATGATTTAATTCATACTGTAAGTAACAAACAGTCAGGCTTGAGACATTTAGAAACGCTTGCTTAGCTGGGCTCACCCTTTACTGAGAAATAAACGTAATGGATGCAATGTACGAACATGCCGGCCGTAAGATCTTCTTGCAGAACTCGCAAATTAAAGGTCCGAACAAATATGTATTAAAAGCTGCCCTGAACAACGCACCCTGTGACAAAAAGGGTATTGCCATTTAAGGTCAAAGCTTGCGTCATGGTCAAGCTAATTAATCACAGCGTGATACACCACGCGTGATTTAAGAAATTTGAGTCAATTATTGCATGCCGTTGGACGTCCTTTCGCTTAGTTAAGCGATGTACGTGGGGTGAAAATAACAAAAGGCTAGGATGAATGGCCGCCAACACATCTTTGATGACTTACACAAAGTACAGCATTATTTGTCGACTGAATCTGCAAGTTCTTGAAGTTCTATTCAACCAAGTACTTTGACGATACGTGGACAACCTACAGTTGCGTTGGTATAAAATCTGGAATCACTGTATACGTATTTTTGGTCCCTATTGCTTGATACAGCGCATCCCAACCCTCTGCAACCTAGCGCCGCACATCGCGCCCGCCACAGGCGACGAATTACCTCGTTGAGGATCTGGAGGATGTCGACTATCAGTTGGATAGGATGGGAAGAAGAGGAGGGTGAGGTACACCAGCGTAGCAACTTGGGCCCTGTGCAAACCTTGCGGACACCGCGTCCGTTTCCCGACCTCTCGACTTCCGGGGGAAGTGGTATCATTGCTAGTTGCCTCGACGAGGCACTGGAGCAGAAGCAGCAGCTGAAGACTGACCGCAGGGTGGCAATGCGCGCGCATCCACGGCCGGGCCTAGACCCTCGTGCAGACTACCGCTTCCGCTCGGCGGAACCCGCTGTAGAAGCGATGGATGCGATCACTCGATCGTTAGGCGTCTATGTGGTCAAGCCCCGGCCACTATATAAGATGAGCTTGACCAGCGAAAAGCTCCCCGAGCTACCGTCAAAAATCCCAATATATACGTACCGCGCTCGACTTCGCGCTAAACTTCGCGCTCAAAGAAGAGGCGCTCCTGTACCCGTAATGTGGACCATTTCTGTGGCGCTCGCTCCTAGTAAAACCGCTGCAGATGATGAGAGATCTTCGAGCGATGGTTGCAGCAATGCCGGAAACGTTTCTTGCTGTCTAACTTACAGTGGAGCCACAAGGAGGTGAACGTGCACGTGTTACGCCAACTTCGAATCGAATATGCCAAATTCAAGGCGCAACGCCGACTTCCTACGTATTGTCGCCCTACGACATATGGAACAATCTATAACGCTCCCGTGAGCTCTGTGGTTTCTCACACGGGTGAGACTACGACCAACCACAGCAGCTCAGGGTCGTAGCTTGAGTTCAGCTCATGGCCCTCCGGCTTCTCGGGCTACTGCCGAGAAGCGCGGTGTG